TATTAAATATTAATATTTTTAATAAATAAACCCTTTTAAATTTTAATTTAAATTAAATGAGCACTCGTATATAAGGGCCACCTCTCCGGCCGGCGAGCATCTCACCTAGATGTTTCTCCCTGTTTTAAGGGCCACCTCCTCTCTGTTTCTTCCTTTTGTCTCGATTCCCTATTCCCTTCATGGTTCCGAATCGCATATTGCCTTGGTGCTGTCTTTGTTTCCTGCACAAACCTAGTATCATCTTCTTCTCTGAAACAAAGCACTACTGAGATGAATCTGATTTACATAGATCTAGGGTTTGAACACTGTTTTGCTGTTGATTGGGTTGGTAGGGGGTGGATTGGCTCTGCTTTGGACAGATTTTCAGTTGCAACAATGGGTCCTCGTTTCCTTAATGAATTTCAACAGCAAGGGATTGAGGAGTACCATACCCCCCTCCTGTTGATTATTCATTAGGAATAGATAGGGCGGTTTGTTGCTGGAATCCCTTGTTCTCCCAGTGAAGCTTCTCCCAGTGAAGCTAGTTAAATAAGTGAGGATGTCCAGTAGCTCATAGTGACTTTACTTGCTTCATTAGTAGCCCTATTTAGCCCATACAGCAATCGTATTGCAATCTCTAGTTGCCGATGGCTCTCTTTGCTTAATTGTCTATATCCATCATAGGCATAGCTTAAATTTGTTACTAATGCTGTAGGTTTTGCTTCTGATTTTTGTCTTTAGGATATGCTGCTTTAGCTATACTGTCATGAGATGGAGAATTCTACTGTAATTTCTTATTATTTAATATATTTCTCTATAACCCTAATTGCTAATTTCCTTATATTGTCTGTGCCACAAGGAGTAATTAATGGCAAAGGGTGGAAACAAGAAGGAAAGTACTGGGCCCAATGAAGCCCGAAAGCCAGGACGGCCTCGAGGACCACCAGTGTAAGGAAGAATTGAAGAAAAGGAATGAGGACAAAAAGCGAAAGGATAGAGAGTATCGGGCGAACAGAACGGTCTGTTGTTTTCAATTTTCCTGTGTACTGAGTCACGACAGTTAGCATAAACATATATAAATACACAAGATCATAACACTTTCCTACATATATATACATGATCATGCATAACACAGTCAGTTTGTAACATAAATCATCATTAGGAGCATATAAATATACGTGCATGTCATTCAACTTCCATTCAATTCTCTTATTAGTCTATGGCTGACTATAAAAGAAGTGGTGTGGGAGCTAGTTTAAGGATGGCAGTATGGTTTTTCTATCCTGTTAGCATATGACGTATGTGTACATGGAATATGTGGTTGGTGTTGGGCTATGGTGTTGGGTTGAGTGGAATCTCCATGCTCACACCACCCTGGAGTTTCAAACTTCTCCCCATTTCTTCTTTATATGGTTTTCAAGTGTTTTTGGTTTGTCTATATCATTTCGCAGATGTGGATTGGCGCTATGGTGCATTAATTCCTCCATAATTAATGTCCTATATGTCCACCCTGCTTTAAAATTACAAGCCAAGTGTAGGATGAGGTAGTAACGTACAATCTTTAAGGAAGTATAATGGATGGGTTTATTTATCTATAGTATAATAGTTTATATGGAGGAAAAAAATGATTTAATATTAATGATATAATCTATATTGTTCTGAATGATTGATGTTTACTTGAATTATATTCGTAAAAGATCCTCATCTACTCTGTTGTAATTGTAAATGCAGCACGAACTCAACTTATATAGGGCCTTTATTGAAGAGCCCGAAATTGCTGGCTTGTTCAAAGCCTTCAAGGAAAAGAAAGAACAAGAGTTCAAGGAAGAATTAAAGGAGCTTGAGAAAGTTTTGATGGTGTGATTATCTGTGCCTTACTTCCTTCCAAGTTTCAACCATGCCCCATTTCTTTTTGGGTTATAATATAAAAGTCCCCTGTTTATTTGTGAGAACAAAAAATGATTTCAAATTAATGATTGAATCTATATTGTTCTGAATTATAGTTTTAGACTGTTTCATGTTTTCCTTCTACTGCCCTTTGTCTGAATCTTTTCAACTCTTTCTCTGAAATTTTAGGAGGATGTAACACCCGATTCTTCTGACGAGGACTTGGATGCTTTTGTTCAGTCTCTCCTGAATCCTAAAATGCTCACAGGAAATTCGGCAGGTATGTATATATTTTGATGCATTATTATTTATTTTTGACAGTCTTCAAATTATGGAATATTATTGTTTTAACTTTTTCTTTAACCTGCTGAATCCTCAAATG